CTGTAAATAAACAGACGGTGTTGCGAAACCGCCATCAGAAAACCCCGGGCCTGTCGTAGCTAACGTTAGCGCTGGTGTCTGTGGCGGGACGTTCGGAGCTAATGGATGCATCATCTGCATTTTTATTTATTTATTTATTTTAAACATTGACATCCACACACTGAAGTGTGTCTCAGACTCTGCCCTCCCCCTCCCCAGTGTGATCCTAGTCTGAGACTCTGTTCCATCTGAACATCAGTTCCTAACTCTGGAACAGAGGGATCTACATTTGGAATCACTAGAGAAGAAAGAAAAGAACAAGAACATGAACCAACACCAGGAATATTGGACTGAGAATTGGAGAGAAAAAAATCAATAACTGATCAATGACTGAGGAGATTGATACGGGATCAGGAGAGGACAGATCAGGAGATACTTCACTCTATCGAAATTTTCTAACACCCCGAGCATTTATCAATGAGAAACACGTGCTTTAAACAGTTCGTCCAATCATCACGCAGGAGCCCAACGTCGACACCCACCACTGCTCAACAACTTCCAACAAAGACTCACTTCCATAAAAGTGATTCTTTTGTCAATCATTTTCTCAGTAAGACGTCAGTCGTTGGAGCTGAGCCTCAGCAGGGTTTGATACACCCACCTGTCAATCAAACACTGACCCTTTGATGAGTCATTTCACGACGTTTGAAGGACAACTGTTCAATCACCACGGACGCAGGCAAACGTAAACGTAAACTCATCCTTCGTAGAACGACAACACCGAAGCATCGCGTTCACGTTTCCATGACGATTCAGCAGATTCACAGAGACGTACGTTGGAGCAGCGAGTCTTTTTCTCCAACGTGGACGAGAATCCAGCAGATTGTTGGAGACAACAGCTGCTGTGACAAATCAACATCTGCAAAGACGTGAAAAAAAAATAAAAATTCTAAGCCCGAGTAAAGCTTCTGTGAAACTAAAGAATCCTGTTGACGAAGACGGGAAAAAACAGGAAGTCCATGTGACTGAAACGCTCAGTTTTCACTGCTTTATGAAAGTCTTTTCTACACGAGACATCTTCGTTTTTCAAACCTAATTCGTTTGTGAAACAAAAAGTTCGAAAACTGAAACAATTTTCCCGTAGGAATCAACGTGACAGGGATGAATCGGTTCCTGGTTCCTGGATGATTTCAACAGTATTTTGTGAACAGTTTCAAACAGGAAACTAATAAAAAATAATTAGATCCAACAAAAAAGATCAACAGAACTGAATAAAGAATAAAGATATAAACAGGAAAGGTGATTTCATTGGTCGAGCCCTGATTGGACGACGTTCACTTCATTTTCTCACTGATGAAACTGTCACCGTCCGACTGTTGGTGGTTGATCCAGATCAACACACACACACTCTCCGGACACACACACACTCCCACCGTCCGTCCCCGTCCGTTCATTTAAGTCATTTCCGCCCGTCTAAAGCAGGGGGCGTCGTCCAGACACAGTGGACTTCATTTAACTGCAGGGTCTGCGCCAAGAAAAGCCCAGATATATACGTTGTACGTCCTGGATGTCGGCTACTTTCGGAAGTGGCCGCGGAGACAAAGACGCAGCTGTGTGGAGGACAGGGGGGACGGCCGCGGGGCAGAAGAGCGCTGGGGGGGACGGCCGCGGGGCAGAACAGCGATCTGTAGCTTCTAGCTTATTTAAGATAAAGACGCCCAGGGGTACACGCACCTCCACTTGAGAACCCCTGATCTCTAGTCTCATCTGCAGGAAAAACCTCAAAAGAAGGATTCAAAGCTAATGGAATGACAGATCAGTCCCACCTACAGCGCCACCTACAGGCGCTGGTCTTCAACTACAGCAGCAGAGAAGTCGTTTTCAGTTCAACTGAAAAAAATCCTGAGGCTTCGTGACCGAAAACGGCTGATTTTTTTCGCAGGCCAACAAAAGGCAAACTTTGCGGTAAAGGCCTGGACACATGAACTCCAGTGGACGGCGGCCACTTGGCAGCAGACGAGCGGAACTGCTGATGAATGCACTCCGCTGGACAGTTGCCCTCCGAGTGTTTATTAGCAGAGGAAGCTGCTCAGCTGCTCGGCCGCTCCGCACCTGCACACGGAGGACACGGCCCTGCAGACATATCAATGAGACGCTGACCCCAGATCTGCCCTCAGAGCCGTTCAACCTCGGCTAACACTGTTAGCTCTGCACAAACATTTAAAAAAAAAATGCAATTTTTTTTTTAGCTTAACCTTAAATTAAGATCAGTTTCTCAGGTGTCGCCAACAGCTTTTTGAATTTTTCATCATGAAATTTTTTATTTTTTTATCAGGTATTTCAATCGTCCAGAATCAACAACCAGATCAGAACGTCGACATTTGACCCCAACGTGAATCGGCTGTAGTTCGGTCTGATTTATTTTCTCAAAACCAAAATTTAATTTTTAATTTAATCTGTTTACCCCCCCCCCCTTCCTCTCATTCCCACCCGACTCTCCTCCCCCCAAAAACCTCCCTATTCCACATACGGTAAACTAAAGACAAGGTGTTTTGTTACTATAGCAACAGAGATAGGTGAAAAACAGGGACAGCCAGTTAAAGAGGTCAAAGGTCACTCCGGTGGATAAAGTGTAAATAAAAGTTTTGCCCGTCCCTGAGGTTTAACCTTAAATGTAATCATTAATTCTCCATGATGGTCGGCGGTCTAGCGCCACCTGCGGGTACGAACGTCCCCGCTGACTGAGCGACGTCGACAGGTTGTTTGGCTCTGCCGCAGAACCTTTGATCTCCACCAGGACGTCAGCAGTGGGAGAGGGTTCACAACCTCCGGCACAGCTGACTTATTTACAGTACAGTGTGTCTGCGGTCCCGTCAGAGAGGGTGGGGGCTGGAGGGGGTCGAGGGGGTCGAGGGGAACTCACATGTACGTGTGAAAAAAAACTCAGTATTTGTGTACTGTTTCTTACATATAATACGAGTATTTACGCCAGGACTGACATCTTGGGGGGAAGTGGTAATTTTTCAAAATAAAATACCGAGAAGAGTCATGAAAATAAAAAAAGCTCTAGTCTCAGTGCCAAATGATCCAGGTCCCAATACTGGTCCAGGATCCAGTGATTGAGGATCACTGTTTTATATATATATTTATATATACATATATATATAAATATACATATAAACTCGTGACCCTCCAATGACGGTACGGTGGAGGCGTGGCCCTCGTTGATTGACATTAACTG